TCCCATCGAGGGAGAAAGGTGTTCACCTCTTTTTACGGTGCCCTCAGGGGCCCGTTCTGCCAACCCCGCCTTCATGCCGGGGCGTAGACGGTCCCAGCGAGTGCTTTCCCGAGGGACGCTCGCTCCCTCTGAGGAGGGTCTCAGAGCGGTCAAACCAGTTGTTCCCTGCCGGTGCGCCGTTACAGGGCGCTGTGTTTGCTGCTCAAATTACACCAGAGACCAGTCTCGAGAGACTGGTACCTTTAGTAGAATTTGTTTGGCAGAGTGGAAAAGCCTTCCAAGAATATCTCAGTGGGTCCTGCAGACAGTAGTAAGAGGTTATGCGATCCAATTTAGGTGTCGTCCACCGAAACTCAGAGGGGTTCTGCCCATAGTGTGGGCCCCGAGCAGGCTCTGGTAATGGAACAAGAGGTGAAAATGCTCCTTAAAAAGGGGGCTATAGAACGGGTTCCTCCTCCCAGTTTGGAGCTAGGTTATTACAGCCGATATTTTATCGTTCCAAAGTAGGTTGGGGGGTTGCGTCCAATTTTAGATTTGCGCCTATAAAATCGCTCGGTAGGGAAGCTCAATTCAAGATGCTCACTATCAAGCAGGTCGTGTCACAAATCAGGTCCGAGGACTGGTTTGTCACGATAGATCTAAAGGACGCTTACTTCCACATTTCCATACTTCCACAACACAGGAAGTTCCTGAGGTTTGCCTTCGGGGGCGAGGAATTCCAATATAGGGTTCTTCCGTTCGGTCTAGCTATCTCCCCGTACTTTACGGAGCAGATGGCGGTTCGACATCGAGATGTCGTCCTCGCGCATATCAGGAAGTTGGGGTTGAGGCTGAACGCGAAGAAAAGTGTTTATCTCCTTCCCCGGAGACCACTTTTCTGGGCGTTGTTTGGGATTAGGTCACCCGCATCGCTTCGATTCTTCAGCCTTGAAACAGTAAAGCTAGGCCAGCTACTCACTGTAAAGCAGTTTCAGAAACTGTTGGGTTTGATGGCAGCAGTGTCCAACGTTATACCTTGGCCAGTTGTACATGAGACCGCTGCGGTGGTGGCTCAGGACCAAGGGATTCTCCCCGAGGGGAAATCCACTCCGCACGATCAAAGTCTAGGGGCTCTTTGTCGTCGCGTAAAGCTAACGACGGATGCTTCCCTCACAGGGTGGGGGGCGGTCATGAGTGGTCGTCCAGCCCAAGGTCTGTGGCAGGACCATCATCTATCATGGCATATAAATTGTCTAGAGATGTTGGCAGTGTTTCAGGCTCTGAAACACTTCCTAGCAGACCTGAGAGGTCATCATGTGCTAGTTCAGTCAGACAACACGTCGGTGGTCTCTTATATAAATCGTCAGGGGGGCCTGCGGTCTCGCCGGCTTTACAAGTTGGCCCGTCAGGTCCTCCTGTGTTCCCTAGGGAAGTTACTATCACTGAGAGCAATGTATCTTCCTGGGTATTTGAATGTGGTAGCGGACTCTCTGTCGAGGCAGGGGCCGAGGACGGGGGAATGGAGACTCCACCTCCGAGGTGGTGGAGCTCCTTTGGTTGAGTGTCGGTCGCGCCGAGGCGCACCTATTCGCTTCCAAGAAGATATCGCACTGTCGTCTGTGGTTCTCCATCAGTCATCCAGCCCCTCTGGGGTTGGACGCTATGGTGCAGCCGTGGCCGAGGTCACGTCTCTACGCTTTTCCCCCGATTGCTCTGCTACCAGGAGTTCTGGAGAGGGTTCGCCGGGACGGGGTCAGCCTACTATTAGTAGCCCCGTTCTGGCCGGCCCGAGTATGGTTTGCGGACCTGGTTTCTCTCCTGGACGGCTCTCCTTTGGAGCTCCCGGTCAGGAGGGATCTACTCTCTCAGGCGGGCGGCATGATATTTCACCCCCGACCAGAGTTATGGAAACTGTGGGCTTGGCCTCTGAGGGGGCCCAGCTCTTAGATTCCGGTCTCTCAACCGAGGTTGTTGAGACCATCCTTCACTCCAGAGCTCCATCCACGAGGAAGCTATATGCCTTTGAAGTGAAAACTTTTCACTTCTTGGTATGGAGAACACCTGTAGGACCCGGTTAACTGCCCAGTGGGTGCAGTGCTGGAATTCCTGCAGGAGCGTTTCTCCACAAGGTTATCCCCCTCCACACTAAAGGTGTATGTGGCGGCACTGGCTGCTTACCACGTCCCTTTCAGTGGAGTTTCTCTTGGGAGACACCCGCTTATAACTCGTTTCCTTCGTGGCACTTTGAGGCTGAGGCCAGCAGTTCGTGCCTGGAATTTTCGCCTGGTATGGTTAAGGCTTTTCTATACCCTAGGCCAGGTTATGTTCCTAAGGTCCCTACTAATGTTGTTAGACCTACAGTTCTGCAGGCTTTCTGTCCTCCTCCATTTCTGTCGTCAGACCAGGAGAAACTTAATTTGCTCTGCCCAGTGAGGGCGTTAGATGCTTATGTCCACAGAGCTGCCCTGTGGAGGTAATCAGAACATTTATTTGTATGTTTCGGGCCACCCAGGAAAGGGTGTCCTGCGTCTAAATAGAGAATGAGCAAGTGGGTGGTCGAGGCTATCTCACTTGCTTATGAGTCGGCTGGTCAGCCTTCACCTTTGGCTGTACGAGCCCGCTCTACTAGGAGTATGGCTGCATCCAAAGCTTTATTGTCAGGAGTTTCCCTGAGTGAGGTTTGTGATGCGACTGGATGGTCTTCACCGTGCAGGTGCTCTCGTCCGCTGTGCGCTAGATCTCACATGACGGTCACTTGCTCCTATGGCGACGTGGGTATTCGCGTTCCCACAGCGTTTGACGCAGCTCGAAGTTCCCTTGAAAGAGAACGTCTCGGTTACGTATGTAACCCTAGTTCCCTGATAGGGAACGAGACGCTGCGTCATTCTGCCATACTCCCGGCATTCCCGTTAAGCGCTCCTTCAGGCCTATCAGAAGCTGATGCGCTTGTGTTTTTGGGGTGCTTTATAGTTTCCTGGTCGATGACGTCACCCGCCTATGACGTTCCGTCTCTCCATTGGGCTGATTCCATACGTGCTTCATGATGCACAACGCAGGGGCGTTCCCACAGCGTTTGACGCAGCGTCTCGTTCCCTATCAGGGAACTAGGGTTACATACGTAACCGAGACGTTTCCCGTCTACTCAGTTCCCTGTGCATATTAGCTACCAATATCTACACGTTGCCTCGGCAAACGTGAGAAGAGCCACTTTATTATGCAGATATGCAGACCCATAATCTACGCGCTGCCTCGGCAATCGCGAGATCTGAGCCATAGATTCTTATTGTAGGGATGCAGACCCATAATCTACACGCTGCCTCGGCAAACGCGAGATCTGAGCCATAGATTCTTATTGTAGACATGCAAACCCGTAATCTACGCGCTGCCTCGGCAAACGCGAGATCCGAGGCAAATCTTTATTGACTTTCTTCCTCGAGAAGAAAGCCAACAAGAGCAGAGCTAAAACTCTCGATAGTGCATATTACACGTCGGGAATTTATAAATGAACACTGTCAGCCCCAATTTACTAGAGCTGACCGTGCATGCTCCACTCCCAAACAGACAACACATGAATCGCGTGTGTCCCCACTCGTAATGAAGCGAGGGCAACTGAATCAGATGGACACTGACTTGCAAAAAGTGTTTTATGAAATTGAAAACTGAGTTGAAGGCCAAGAATTGGTGGTTTTGCAGATTTGATGTGTGGTTATGGTGTTTGAGTGTCAGGTTTCAGAAATTGTGACAAGGATTTTGTGTGTAAGCAGTTGAAAAAAACTGTAAAGTTTTAATGTTTTTTTTTTCACATCAGATTTTCATTATATGATAAGAATAAGATATTTTCCTTGTATTGACTGTACAACATAAAGAATGAATGAGATGTGCAGCAATTCGTTTTTTTTCTATATCTTTACATAGTAATTTACAAGCAAAAAAGAAAAAGTTGAAACAACAACAAAATCCTGAAGCAATAATGTGTGTGTGTGTGTTGTCCCTGTGATGGACTGGCTATCTGTCCAGGGTGTTTTCCTGCCTAAGACCGAGATGCTGGGAAAGACTCCAGCCACTCCCCACAACCCTGGACAAGCACTTTGGAAAAAGTATGAAATAGACGAATGGAGGGATGGATGGATTAGATGGATGGATGAATCGAGGAATGGATGGATGGATGTCCAGTACTGTGAGGGTTCTTGTCCTCCCTTTCTCTTCTTTCCTCATTTGTATTCATTGATCCATGTTTCCAAACTAAATCATTCTGACTGAATAAAATAAATACTAGAGACTGAAAATAGGACACCTGGTTCAGCTTTCAGCTGCAACTGCAATTAGTTGTGTTTGTAATAATTACTATTTAATTTCGTTGTAAATGTTCTGCTAATATTTTATATTTTAATATAAATCCTTCAGAAAGGCAAGAGTTTATCATCATTCTGATTGGAATGTGCTTTTATCAGTTTTGAAAGCAGTGTTTTAGCATTGGAAAAATGTGCTGCAAATATATAGTTTTGCAGATGGTCAAATATGAATGACAAAAGTGTTCATGTGGTCATTGAATCAGTTTTGTGTGAAAGCCACGAAAAATTATCCACAGTTTGGTCCAAATAGACTTCTGTTTCACTGAATGAGTGAAGAGTTTTGAACATGTGGCTTCTTCAGTACTTAACAATTCTTGTTAGCAATTGAAAATAAAAATAAAAACATTGTAATAATACTATGAAAACAGTTAGCAATAATAATATAGCCATCATAATTAATTCACTAAAAAAAATTGCATTATTTAAATGACACTTTTTACAAAATGTTCTAACTTTTGGAATTATAAATTGAAACAATTCAATAAATATGCCATAAAGACTGAATCTGTATTACTAAATGATATATTCTAATTATAAATATACCATAAAGCCTGTAATGGTTTACTTTTAGAACTAAATGCGAATGCAAATTCAACGATGTTTGAGTGTGAGCTGAATCGATGTGTGTTGCTTTTGGGGTAAGAGAAGGTCAAGTGAATGTGTCAGAGCAAAATAACCATAATGTTTATTTCAACACAAAAGTAGTATTTTTGATTATGTTCTTTGCATTGAAACAGTTTTAATCTATTACCCTGACCTCATATTTTGTTTTTGAACTCTTAGAGTAGCTTGAAAGACATCTTGTTTTAGTTCATTTAAACATATAGTGTGTCACAGAGAGAGAAACATAATATTTGTTAAGAGGGCAGAGGAAATGTGTTTGAAATCACAATATATAGCATTCTTGCACTAATGAAATCAAAAAGAGCATACAACAAGATAAATGAAGTAATTGTCGCACACTTAGTACTGTATTTTATACATTAAAAAAGTCAAATACAGTATAAATCGTGTAGTATGTATATTTGAAAACAGCATTAATTGTCTGTATATTAATCAGTTGCATAGAGCAGGAACCCGGTGAAAGTGTTGTAGTGGTTGTTATCGTCGCACAGAAAGCAGCCGGCTGGAAGAGCAACATCCACCTGGTCTCCTGCATTCAGCTGCACTGCTAGCACAGCGCTAACACTGTCCTGCTGGTCTTGATTGTTCTTCTCACTCGGAGATGCGAGTGTGCGTCCGTTCAGCCGGAGTCGAGCACAAGCAGCGAGTGTGGCTCCGGCAGCACCAGCATCACTATAAACAGTTAGTGCCAGGCTGTAGACACCAGAACGTGGAGCTACAAAAACACCAGTGTTGGTACTGTAGCCATCTCCCAAGTTAATAAATACACTGCCATACTTCACCACAGAGTCTTCGCGATTCGGGCCGACACATTGGCGTGTATCAGTAAGAGCCACAGAGAAGGCACTCCGACTGGCTGTCCAAACATAAGAAAAGGGAAAGTAACTCTTAAAGGAAACTTAGAACATTTATCATTATGACACTTTCTGAAGAATAACGCAGTGCTAAGAGGAGAGTAGAACAGTGTTAACCTTTTAGGCAGGTTCATGTTTTAGGGTTTGCTTGTGAGGAAATTAAATGTACATTCACTCAATATGTGTCATGTTTTCTGTTGGCTGTGTAAGAGAATTAACACATCCACCAATAGCAACTAGATTGTTGAATAGATATTACAAAATCACAACTCAATATGCAAATAGATTGAAGAAATAAGAATAATTGCAATCCAGCATGTAAAATTACGATCCCATCGCTGTCAGCTACATTAGGAATTCTTAACCTTCTAATAATACATTTGAGCATGTGATTTTCAATGCATGTGACTTAAATTTTGTTAAAAGGTATAAGGACTTTGAATTAAGTGCAGGCTAAATTCAACAAAGTTGAATACCAAGATAGGCAAACAAGACCGCTACAAATGGCTCACCACGAATATTGTTTAAGACTGCATGAGCTCTCTCCAGTCCCCTTTGTAGCTCATTTAAGCTCATGTTGAAAAAGGTCTCCATCTTCCACATCTGATTCTTCATCAGGCAGCATCCACAGGACGCCACATCAGTCGGACACACTTCAGAGAGGCAAAGAAACGAGCATCATCGTATCTCACTTTCCTAGTGCCTGAATTGATGTTTAAGGTTTTTATGTGACCTTTCTATTTGTATGTTTTTTTTAAGTCACCATTCTCATTGGGGTCAACTTCACTGGGTTCTCCCGGACCATTCCATGAAAAAATTCTGTCTTGTGCAAGTGCACATCCCAAGAAGCTTAAGATTACAATGGCTAAAACATGTAAAAGAAAGTTACATACATCCAGGCAATCCTGTACATAATTATATGCAATTGTATATACAGGTGAAGGACTAAAAGTTTAATTTAGTTTATTTTATAGTCAGTCTCACCCTTCATTTCTGCTGATGTCTCTTGACTGTAGTCTCGCAGGAAGATGTGTTGACATCAACTTGAGTAATGCTGGTTATAAAGGCTACACCTCTGGTCTTTCAATAGCAATGGGCAGGGCCTTTTGTTTGAGTGTGTTTCCCATGCAATACAGTGCTGAATATGGGACAAAGATTGTTTTTCAGCTAAAGCACATTATGTTATTCCCATGGCTGTTTTCTCTAGGGTACCACTTATACAAGTTTATCATTCTTCATCTTGGAGCTGAGTATACCAAACCGCATATTGTATGTTCAATTGTAACAACAACAGCATGCCTAAACTGGCACTGTGAAATAATGGATTTTGACTTCTCATCTAAGGTGAATGATAAATGCTACTTTACCAAGGTACCTGAATAACAAATGTAAAAGGCACGTTGAAAGAAAATTCAAGTTAGACACTTCCTCAATATTGCAAATAATCGATGGCACTGTTGATCAGGACATGAAGCAAGACATTTTAACAGAGATCCTGCAGAACCTGTAATCATTTAAATTTACAAAAATGGTCTGATTTACTTTCAAATAAACATGAAACTGACACCGGTCTGATATCATCGCCGTGGATGGCAGCAAGTCTCTGTAACTACAAGTACTCTGGCTCTGCTGACGCAAGGCCTGAAGCCTCGGGACAAAGTGCTTCATGTATTTTTTTTCCACTCCAAAGGAAAAGCTTCACAGAATAGGTAATATGAAGAAAAAACCAATGACAGTTTCGAACCATTCACTAAAAATGAAAGTTTTGCCCTTTCATATCAGAGGAAAGCTCAAGGAACATTTGAGAACATTTAGAGCCAAAATTAAATGATTTCAAACATTCCCTTGAGGCTGAACGAGAAGCACAGCGTTTAGGACTACTCACAGGTATCGCACACCGGACACGCACGACTGATAGAAGAGCTGCAAAATGGGTGAGTTTTAACTTTATTTATTGCTTTGTTTTTTATTTTTATTGAATAATAGCTGAATTGTAAACGTTTATCAATAAAAAATAATCTATATCGGGTTGTAAAGTCTGTTATTGTTTTGTTGTATCTGTTGTCTAGGCCAGTGGTTCCCAAACCTGTCCTGGCGACCCACCAACACTGCACGTTTTCTTTGTCTCCCTAATCAAACACACCTGATTCAACTCATCAGCTCATTATCACATGGGTTAATGGGTTAACCGGTGTTGTGACCCCGAAGCGCCATAGCGAGGTGTGAGTGTGGCATTTGCTGTAATAGTTTGCACAAAGACGTTTAGTTTATTTACATTGTTTATTCTGTGTTAAACGCAGGGAGGAAATCCTCGATGCAAGAGTGTGAGCGCATGGGCGGTGTTGTGGCAAAAACTTCTTAAACATCATCACTGCGTAAGAGACGCTGAGTCAAATTGTCTTTTAAAGTAATTTATTCTCTTGCAAGAGAAGGTCAGACAGTCATACAGACATTCAGAGCCTGCCTGCAGAGTGTAAGACCAGGAGGAGGAGCTGTGCGACACCTTTTATATTCTTTACCAAGGTCTACTTCAGCTGTTGCTTTTCCTAGTAGTTTTCCACTAACTTGGGCACACTTTTGCACATGCTCCTATTCATCACTACTTCTGACACTGGGACCAACAAATTTCAATTTCAATTTTTTGTGGATGCCATGTTTAGCCTGTAGCAACGAGCTGTATCACACAGAGTCTATTCCACTCTTGGATTACGGCAGATATCTTTCTTTGTGGAGTTCTATGCATATGGACCTCTGATGTCAAGGCCCTGCTGTTTTGCTTATGATTTATTTTTGTTATACAAATCTTAAGTTTATGGTTATATACTGATTTTTCTATTCTGAAGTGATTTCTTGTTGTTATTTTTGTAATTGATTTTACTCTTTGAGTCCGGTTTGGACCAACCGCTGAGGTCTATGTTATATGATGTGTAAAGGGGAGTTTTCATCCATATTTTCTGTGTTTTAGGAGCCAGCCTGTGTGGGAGTACTTTCCTCCGGGTAATCCGGCCCTTTCCTTTCTTCACTGCATGTGGCGTGGGATTTTCTGCCCTGAGTATTGATTTGGTAGTGTAGAGTTATTTGTATTATTCACTACACCTTTTTTAAAGCGGTTGGTTAATGATCTGGAAAACCGTGCACGTGTGGCGTGTGCTCTTAGGGCGGTGGGATGACTCTGTCCCTTCTTCCTACAGGCTTGGCTAATCCTATTTTAAGAATGGTGGGTTGTGATTTTAATATTTGACCTAAAGTCTATATTTCTTAAATTGTGATTCCTCCTTTTATAATATTCACAAATTAAAGTTGATTGTTGATTCAGAGTTTTCACGACTCATTGTTAATAAAAGTATTGAGCTTGAATGCCACGTCTTTGTTTTTCTATCAAGTACTGTCTATTTGAACTTGGGTAACACTTTACTTAAAGGGGTGTGCATAAGACTGACATGACACCTTCATAATCATGACGGCGGTGGTAGGAGTGTAAATATTAATCGATTTGTATCGATGCATCGATTATACAGCCGATGATTCGATGCATCGATGCGTCCGCAAGAGTATCGATTAATGTGTTCGTTTTGCCGCCTGTCTATTTTCAGCATCCGCTCATATGCGTACAAACAATTGTTATGCACTGGGCTAACGTTAGTTAGTCACCGAACTAAACTGCCAGTGTGAATGCACCCTCAGTCACTTAAGGGGCTTTCACACTGGCAGTTTAGTTCGGAACGGGGCACGGTTCGCATGAAAAATCGCTAATGTGAACGCTGTCATGGGACCCGGGTGCGCACTGGGGTACCGAACCCGAGACTACCTGGAGGAGGTGGTCTGAGTTCGGTTGCTCCCGAACCGTGCCGCGGTTCGCGTGAATGTGAAAGAAGCACAGACTCGGGTGCGCACTTGTTCAGGAAGTAAAGTGACCTGCGCATGCGTTTTAGCTTATTGTGATGTATTCAGTTAAATAAAACACTTGTAAGGGATGATAATGTTGATGATTTACCTTGGATACGAGCGAGAGTGAGCCTGCAGTGTATTCGTGCATTGCGCATGAAATCAGGGCACCAAATTTGGAAATCCTCTGTCTCCTCAAAAGAGTCCGTTTGCAAGCAGCAGAAGTCCACCTTATGTGACACACGCATTGTAAACCTGTATTGTTCACTCAACTGCGCATAATAACAGCGAATTAATAAAAAACACAATATTGACCCGCGTTCTGTTTTCTATCATGCGCCGTGCACGTTTCCGATGACGTAATATGCACACAAACGCACCAGGGTTCGATAGAATCAAGTTGAGTATGAAACCAGACCAACACTGCGGGGGCGCCGGGAACAAACGCGCTCGGTCTCGGACCACAGCAAACGAGCCCAGTGTAAAACCCCCCTTAGTTGGCGAATTCCAAGCTAGCAGTTACTAACATAAACAAACAGGCGCTAATGTGTACAAAAGGCTACTTCAACAGCTTACTTGAAAAGTCTAGGGTGCTTTCACACCAACTCGGAACGGAACGGGCACGGTTCGCATGAAAAATCGCTAATTATGTAAACGCTGTCTGGCATGCGGACCCGGGTGCGCACTGGGGTACCAAACCCGAGACTGCCTGGAGGAGGTGCACTGAGTTCGGTTGCACTCGAACCGTGCCGCGGCTCGCGTGAATGTGAAAGCATCACGGACTCGGGTGCGCACTTGTTAAGGAAGTAAGTGACCTGCGCATGCTTTGTAGCTGATTATGATGTATTTAGTTAAATATAAACACATGTAAGGGATGATAGTGTTGATAATTTACCTTGGATAAGAGCGAGAGTGAGTCTGTATTCGCACACACATAGCGCGTGGACTCAGAGCAACAAATTAATGGAAATCCACTGTCTCCTGCGTTTGCAATCAGCAAAAAGCCAAATGCGACACACAGTAAACCGGTGTGGTTCACTCAGCTGTGCATAATAGCACCAAATAAAATAAAAAAACACAATATATTGACCCGTGTTCTGTTTTCTATCATGCGTCGTGCACGTTTGCGATGACGTAAGATGCACGGAAACGCACCAAGATTTGATAGAATCAAGTTTAGAACTGTATGCAGTAACTGTTATATATGCTGTTCTATTTGCAGTGCATTGAGCACAACATACACATTATGTGAATAGAATACTGTTCCTGTATTCTCAATAAAAGGCAAATTATAAACATTTTTGTTGATTTATTTGAAACTTAATAGATATCATGTAAAAATATCGATTATTGAATCGTATCGAATAGAATCGAATCGTATCGCGGGGAATTCTGAAGTATCGAAAATAATCGAATCGTTGGCTTAAGAAATCGGTATCGTATCGAATCGTCATGTAGGCTCCGATTTACACCCCTAGGCGGTGGGCGGCGCTTAGTTGGCGGCCGTGGAGATCTCGTGCAGGAGGAAAGTTTGTCTGTGTTTATGTCTATCGTACGGAGCTAGAATGAAAATTACCTACACCCGAGGTGAACTTCTAAACATTCTAAACATCAGCGCAACTTCATCCCTTAGTTGCCACCCTGATTTGCAGGGTTTTCATTCGGATATCCTCAGAAGCTCCACGGATTGTAGCCCACACAAACACTCGAGAGCTCGTCCATGGAGGCTACTCCCCCGTAGTAGAGCGAGGGGTAATTGAGCCGGCTGCCGTCGCCGCTTGGAGAAGAAAATGTTCCGTGCAACTTTTACCTGGACTAGTACTGGCTAACGTGAGATCACTCAGCAATAAGCTGGATGAGCTCCAACTTCGGTTGGAGACGGACAAGGACTATTCTCATATTGCCGCGTTCTGCTTTACGGAAACCTGGCTTCACTCCAATATTCCTGACACGGCGGTGAACCTACCCGGCTATCAGCTCTTTAGAGCATCCGCGATGCGACAACCACTGGGAAAACAAAAGGCGGAGGTGTCTGCGTTTATGTGAGTAACAAGTGGTGCAGCGATTTAACAGTCATTGTTGAATTATGTTCCCCCGATCTGGAACTGCTGGGCATACATTGCAAACCTTTCTACTCGCCTAGGGAAATATCATCCATTATTCTTGCGTGTGTCTACGTTCAGCCACTGGCGCACGCCGACAC